TCTTTTTACTATATATTAGCACAACTTAGTTTGTTAGATATACTTTGGCTTCTCAATTGTTTCACAGCTAACTAGACTTAGGTTCTTGGAGCCTCTAAAGTGACTAAATGATGACCCCTAATCTCTAGCAAAACTAGTTGTTCTCAGCCAAGGGTGATTTAGCAATTTGACAATGTGTGGTGTGGCATTATAGGGTTTGTGTGTGTGTGTGTTTGGGTGTTTTGGAGTATGTGTGTGATAACTGAGGGACAGAAGAAATGCTAATGACATGTAGTATGTAGGGACCAGAGGTGCTATTAACCATCCTACAGCACACAGACTTAACCATTTCAGAATGTTGAGTTTTGACGTTGAGAAACAAAACTCATCATTCTTTATTAATACCTTGGGTTATTATAATCCATTTTGTATTACATACATTCTAGTTTGTTGTTGTTGTGTTTTGTTTTGTTTTTTTAATTTTCTTCTTTTTTTTTTTTTATGTGTGTACCGTCAAATTGGATCTGACTGGTACAGAAGGCGATTGTTCCGCCTTTTTCAGCAGAGCATCTGGTGGATTTGAAGCGGGTACCTCTGGGATTGCAGTGCAGCTTCTTGCCACTAGGCCACCAGAGCTCTAGTTGTTTTTTTTTAACTAGTTACACTCCAGGTGTGTAATTTTATGTGGCTAGAAATGTGTGTGCTTTTGCATAAACATGTATATTTTTATGGATAGGTCTTCATGAAATATTTACCTGTTTTTACTGTGCTCTTTTGCCTGATAGATTTGTAAACACAAGCTTTATGACTATTAATGGAAAAGTAAGATTTGCATATTGACATAAGAAAGCATGTGAAACTATATATCCTGTAAATACTGGTTTTATCATCTCCTGCTTTGAAAGTGGCATCTACTTTACTCTCATCTTGCTTGATTGTCAGTATTACCATGTAAAAGGCTTCATCTCTCATAATTTGGACTTGTTGCTAGGAGAGGCTATTCCTTGGAAAGAGGCATCATGCTTGGAAAGGTGGAGGGTCATTGAAAGAGGAATACCACCAACAAGATGAATTGACACACAGACTGCAGCAAAGGGCTCAGGTGTGTCAGAGATGATGAGGATGGCACAGCACAGGACAGGGCTCAGGTCTGCTGTTCATAGTGTCGTTATGAGTCAGACTCTGCCATATAGCGCCTAACAACCACCACCATGTTAAGAATCTTAGTGTAAAGATTTGTCAAATAGCAGGTTTAACCTTAATTACTTTTTTAAATTATTATTAAATTTTATTAGTTTTAATGAACATTTACAGAGATTGTGGGTTTTCATTCATTCATTGTTGCACTGTTTTCTCCACCCTCATCCCCAGTTCGTTCTTCTTTCCCTCCCCCCATGTCTGTTTTAATTGTCCAGTTGCCACAGTGCTTGTCAAAGCCAGTTCTGATTAATCTCCTTTGTCAGTGTGTCCTTTGCCATTCCCTATCACTCCTCCCTGAGAGAGACTTCACCCTGATTCATAAGGAAAAGGGGATGGCGTATTCTCTTAGCTATTTCCTGCTGAAAAGGGACGCTGTGGGTTTCAGGGTAAAGATCTTCTCTCACTACTCTAAAGGGCCCCTTTGGCAGTAGGAAACACATAGACTATTATGGAGATTGATTTTGGAATTTAGATACACTGTTATCAATTGTCCTTAGCCATACGTGTTCATATCCTTGAAGATGTATCATGGAAGTGTTGCAGCCTAGAAGACACAAATTTAACAAGTTAAAAGTACATGAGTCAAAAATTTAAAAGCAATAATATTCCAAGTAGAGGTTCTAATAGTGGCACAAATCAAGTTACAGAGGGAAGGTGGTTCTTATAATAAAAGGCCTATAGACTAGCACTTTGTCTATTTTAGTGTAGAGGTTAGGAACCACAAGATGTAGAGGCTCAGCTATGTCATTTATGGTTCTTAAGTCCTGGAGCAGATTCCATCCACCACTGGGTTGTTTTACAACTCGGAAGTTCACATGCAACGTAGAGGTGAAGTAAGGAACTGCTTATGAGGTTTTCCGTCCATTCCAACAACTAAGAAATTGTGAGAAGAGTTGGGACCTCAGAAGGCTTTTAGGACCAATTAGTTGGCTCTGTGTCCAGGAGAAAATGAATATACTTACCAGTAATGTTAATGCTCATCCACGGCTCTTCTGGGAGGATCTAAATCGTTGAATTATTTACTTTTTGTATTTGTTATTCAAAGAAACAGATGGCTGCCTGCTTACAGTGCCTTTCTTTGGTATTGTGTAAATAAAAGAGCCAGTGGGCTGTCAAGTCGACGCATAGTTAGCTCATATGTGTCAGAGTAGAACTGTTCTCTGTGCCTCAATTTGATTTCGTTTGATTTTTCCAGAAGTAGATCACCAAGCTTTTATCTTGCAACCCTTTTATGGTTTACTTCTGGATACATGGACTATTTGTGCCAGTAGGTGGGCCTCAGTTGGAAGAATTCTGGCAAAGCTCATTGCCAGGACTGCCTGATCTTTCTGAGTCTGGCACGTTTTCTGACTTTGATAAATAGTTTATGCTTGATTGCTGACCTGAGTTTTGGCAATTCAGATGCACACAACACATACTCCAGACTGAAAGTCTAGTAGGGAGTTCTAATGGCTTACCGGTAAGAAGCTATGCAGCAGCCCCAAAGATATCTGGTTTGAATCCATCAACTGCTTCACAGGAGCATCACCTTCCCTGGAGTTAACTGCTTCTGAACACCTACTCCAGGGTCAGCTATGAGTAGATTCCAACTCGATGGCACAAGAGTCTATTGCTATTAAAATTATAGCAAAAAAAAAACCCCTGTTAAACTATAATACACATGGTCACCAGGAGTTGAAAATAGCTAGAGCAATGGTTGGGGTTCTGTTTGTTATGCTACAAAATCAGATGTATTGGATGTTTTTGGGTTTTGGTGAGCTTTTTCCATGTCAAACAGGTAATGGGCCAATGTTGTAACAAGGTTTAATGGAGGCACATGTCATACAAAAGGATGAACACTCAGTCATCACACTCAGGAACCAAGAGAGGACCTATAAGGTGTTTTTGACAATCGTAACATCTAGCTAAGCATCCCAATAAGACCATGTCACATTTTATGTACCTGAAGGCTTAGTTTATGGCTTGTTGTTCATGCCGAGAGATACCAGCTGATCTCCTCATTAAGGCAACAGAAATTTTTAACTTCTACCAAAAATTCTTAGTAAATTTGTGCCAGTCTACATGAGGTCAGTCCAAATGTGGTTCCAGATTTCTTCCTCAAAGGGAAAAAATAGTTGCTTCCTACTTCTGAAGAAGACTGGGCCCTGTTGAGTCCATTTCATTTGTGTAAAACTCAAGGTAATAGCAGGGTGTAGTCATCACTGTATTAGTTACCTGGTATTGCTCTCACTCTCATTGTTGTTGAGCCAGGACCTCCCACAGCTGACTCGACCCTCCACAGGGGTTTTGGACGCTGTAAATGGCACAGGGGAGAGTACCCATCTTTCTTTTGCCGAGCCACTGGATTCAAACCACCAAGGATGTTTGTATCACAACTCCCTGTGAACTGTACCCATAGTGTGCTAGTATTTCCCTAGAATGCCTTTTAAGCAAGATTGCAGGAAGGACTTCAGCAGAGCTCTTCAGTTTCTATTTTAGGCTTACTGTTAAAGCTGTATTTGTAAGTGTTGGGGCATTTCGAGCCCAGTGGAAAAAATACTCAAAGTTTCAGCAATCTGATTACCAGTATATATCAATGATGATTTCATATTTTTTATCTTTATTGTTCACTTAAATACGGACCCCTTTTCATTGATTTCCTTTACTCCTTAACTTTGAAATATGCCTTGTTATAGTAGTAGCCCATGAAGTTTAAAATTTGGAGAAATTATCTTCTTATTGGAGACACTTGTTAACAGCCCTGGTATTGGAAGATTATTTCAGATGACTGAGATAATTTGTCCAATTAGTGGCTGGACATTTTTTGGCCAGTGATTCTGTACCCGTTTGGGGAGGTCATGGACCCCTTATAGAATGTAGCATCTCCCCAGAGGGAAAAAAATGTCAGAACCCACAAGATCTTGTGTGTGGTTACTGGAGATTCTTGGAAGGCTTCTGAGGTCCATCTCTAAATTTTGATTACTGGCTCAGTACATTGCACAGTTATTACTGGGAGCACACTTGATGTGTTGTGATTATTATTGGGTGTTAGCCAAATTTCCTTTGTTTTAGCCAGTAATGAATCAGGAGGCAGTAAATTCAGATAGGAGTTCCTGGATGGTGTAAATAGTGCACTGAGCTGCTAACCAGAAGGTAAAAGGTTTAAATCTTTCTAAATAGGAAGTCTCCTTACAATACTCTGTGTAATTTTTCTTTCATACGGTTGTGATTCTATTTGAGAGTATCTTCCCCCATTAAAAGAGACATCCTTCCTAATCATATCTTGGTTTGGGTTTTTTGCTCCATCTCACAGTTTGAGTTATTCAGACCAAGAACAGATTTTGTCATTTCCATGGGTCTACTCACTCCGCCCTGTCAGAAAGAGTGACCCTACTGCAACCATTTGCTTCCAACCAGTTATTTCTGTGTAGGGTCATTGTTTTGTGCCCAGGCAGTATAGCTTTTTGAGACTTAAAGGTCTCTGACATTTTTAATTAAGCTTTTTCAAGTACAGTATATATAAATTAAAACCAAGACCCAATTGAGACACAGTTTATGGATAAGCTATTCTAGTTTCAGATATTTTACCTGTATCTACCCTTTCAGTGAAAACATAGGCTGGACTGTAGGGGGAAATAATAATTGACAAGGATATGTATTAATTGGTTGTTTTTTCCCTGGGTCTGTAAGACATTTTTATAGCCTTTCAGCACGGGTGGTTTCAGGGTGGTTGCTTTTTAAAACTGTATATAAGCATGGTCTCCTAAAATATAGCGATTTTTAGAGAATATTAAGCCATAATTAATGAGAAAGTGTAAAAGTAAAACTTCATTTCCTTTTAGCATGCCAATGAAGATGTGGAAAGAATGTTACTAGGAAACAAGTGTGATATGGATGATAAAAGAGTTGTACCCAAAGGAAAAGGAGAACAGGTAAGGAGCTCTGAGTAGAATGGTATGCCGTCCTTTCTTTTTCAAAATAGTATTACTTTTGATTGCTTTTGTAGTAGTCATGATGGAATGTGCTGAGCTGTTCACACACTGCCGTGTGTGTGTGTGTGTGTGTGTGTGTGTGTGTGTGTGTGTGTGTGTGTAAAGGAATAGCTTATTACCATTTGAGTGAATTTTGCCTATGCATATTCAGTAAGTATAAGAGAATGACTTCTATACCAGTAATAGTCTTACTCAATAGTTTACAACTGTTCCTCTTCCTTTGTATTTCCATACTTGAAAGTTCTACCTAGGTTGCCCTGTTAGTGTTCTGTTGTACATAGGGTTTTCAGAGGCCTGCTATTTCAGAAGTGGATGGCCAGTCCTTCTTCCTAGTCTGTCTTAATCTGAATGTTTAGATTTAGAGGAGTATCTGACAGACAAGCAATTTGTGGAGCAGTGAAAGATAAATCCCTCATTGTGGAGTTAACCATTAGTTACAAGTATGGAAATACAAAGGAAGAGGAACAGTTGTAAGCAGACACTAGTGATTGGAACATGGAATGTGAGAACCATGAATGTAGGAAAATTAGAAATTGTTAGAAAGAAATGGAACGCATAAATATTGACATATTAGGCATTGGAGAGATGAGATGGACTGGCATGGGACATTTTGAGTCAGATGATCATATGATATTACTCCAGAGATGAAAAAGTGAGGAAAAATGGGGTCGCTTTCATAGTTAAAAAAGTAATTTCTAGATCCATCTTGAAGTACAACATTGTGAGTGATAGAGTTATATCTATACGCTTATAAGGACGTCCAGTGAATACCACTATCATTCAGATATATGCACCAATAACCAGAGCCAAAGAAGAAGAAATAGATGATTTCTACCAACTTTTATAGTCGGAGATAGAGCGAACATGCAATCAAGATGCATTGATAAAAATAGGTGACTGGACCTCAAAAGTTGGGAACAGAGAAGAAGAATCAGGGGTTGGAAAACATGGGCTTGGTGACAGAAATGAAGCTGGAGATAGAATGATTGAATTTTGTACAATCAATGACTTGTTCATTGCAAATATTTTTTTAAGAGACATAAACGCAAGTTATACACATGGATCTCACCTGATGGTATGCATAGGAATCAGATCGATTACATCTGCATAAAAAAACGCTGGAGAAGCTCAGTATCAGCTGTGAAAACTAGGTCAGGAGCTGATTGTGGAACAGACCACCAACTACTCAAATGCAAATTCAAGCTGAAGCTGAGGAAAACGAAACCAAATCCACAGGAGCCAAAATATGACTTTGATTTCATCCCACCTGAATTTCAGAATCATCTCAGTAACAGATTTGAGGCCTTGAACACTAACGAGCGAAGACCAGATGAGTTGTGAGAGGATGTCAAAGGTATCATCCAGGAAGAGTGCAAACGGTCATTACAAAGACAGAAGAGGTAGAAAAGACCAAAATGGCTGTCAGAAGAAACTCTGAAGATTGCACTGGAGCGTAGAGAAGCCAAAGCGCAAGGAAGAATTCAAAATACTAAAGAACTGAACAGAAGATTCCAAAAGGCAGCTCGGAATGACAAAGCAGAATATTACAGTGAAATGTGCGAGGAGCTAGAGTCGGAAAATCAAAAGGGCCGGACTCGCTCAGCATTTCTTAAGCTCAAGGAACTGAAGAACAAATCCAAACCTAGAGTTGCTATAATCAAGGATGCTTTAGGCAGAATATTAAATGATCCAGGAAGTATTAAAAGAAGATGGAAGGAATTACTGAATCATTGTATCAAAAGGAATTGGCAGATACAGAAGAATTTAATGAAATAACATTTGAGCAAGAGCCTATGGTGACGAAGAAGTTCAAGCTGCTTTGAAGGAAATAGCAAAAAATAAGGCCCCAGGAATATGCTGCCCTGGATGTGCTCACCAAGTTGTGCCAAGAAATCTGGAAAACAACCACTTGGCCAACTGACTGGAAGAGATCTGTATTTGTTCGCATTCCAAAGAAGGGTGACCCAACTGGGTGTGGAAACTACCAAACAATATCATTGATTTCACATGCAAGCAAGATTCTACTGAAGATTATCCAAAAACGACTGGAAACAGCACATCAGCAGAGATCTGCCAGAAGTCCAGGCTGGGTTTAGAAGGGGTCGTGGTACTAGGGATATTGTAGCTGATGTTACATGGATCTTAGCTGAAAGCAGGGAATACCGGAGGAATGTATATCTGTGTTTCATTGATTACGCAAAGGCGTTTGGCTATGTGGATCATAACAAACTATGGCTGACTCTGAGAAGGATGGGAATCCCAGAACATTTAATCGTGCTAATGCGAAACCTATACTTGGACCAAGAGGCAGTCGTCAGAACAGAGCAGGGTAACGTTGCATGGTTCAAAATTGGGAAGGATGTATGCCAGGGATGTGTCCTATCCATACCTTTTCAACCTGTATGCAGA